GTGGTGTTGGTTTTGTCGCCTTTCGCGCTGTGTGTGGGATGGTGCCTCTCCCGTTTTGCGTTTTCTTTCTTTCCTTGACAATGAGATCGGTGTTGCTCCGTTCCGTGGTGGCGGCAGCCTTTTCTGCTTTCCAGTCCCTGTTCTTTCTTGCTTTTTGTTCTGGAGCTGCTCTGTGGTTTTATAGGGCTGCAGTAATGTGGCTCGGGAGCTGCTGTGCGCCTCCCAGCAGAGCTCCATCCAGCCCCTGTCTGCCTTACGGGGGGGTTTTGCTGTTACTTTTATGATCAGTTTACCAGCATTCGATCCCCGAGCGAGCAGATGTTCTTAGTTAGACCACAGAACTCCTTGATAAAACCTTTCTTTGCCTCCATTCCCTAAGGTCTGTATTCCTGCTGTGTCCTTTTGACTGCCTCCAGTTTATCAGTCCTGCTCAGGGTTTGCTGTGAGATCCACCTGCTTCGTTCTGTCCCAGCACTCGGGCTGTGTTGCAGTGTGTGGGTGAGCCTGGCTGCCCTGCGCTGTGTGAGATCCGCCTGCTGCGCTTCCACACAGCATCACTGTGCCCCAAACCAGCTGTTGGATTTTATTTCGGGGCAGTGAAATGATTCCTGGTCCTGGAAGCTGACATACAGCAGCCAGGCACCCAGTTTGTTGCACCTGTATGGTCTGCGTGACCTGTTGCTCGTGGGTGATTTAACACAGACCCCCTCAAACCCATCAGTTTTTCTTCTGAGCACTGGAAACTGAGCTCAGCTGCTTCTGCCCTGCCTGTTCTTTGAGTACTCCTTGGTATTTTGGGGGGCTTCAAGCATTGGGAAAAGATATCTGGAAAAACAAGATGCATTTCTAATCGTTCATGCTGATAACGAGGTGCGTTTAGTAGTGGGGATGGCAAGAGAATGAGCTGCATTGTCACGAATATTGAACAAGCTTCTGGAGCTGCTGAGCTGCAGGGCTTCCAGCTCTGTAGGTCAGGCTTTGTTTTCCTTAGAGCTCACTGTAGTGGTGAGTAGAAGGAAACCCTGAGTTTATTATAGCTTCTGCTGCTCTTACAGCTGTGTAAAGTGATCCACAGCTGAAGAGGATTCAGATGCAGTGGTGAGCTGGAAATGTAATGCTGGCGTTAATCCCACACGTGTTGCTGAGTGGGTGCAGTTTGCTGCCTGTCTGGAGCAAAGTCAGAGTTCAAAAAAGTGGAAGAAACCCAAAGGATTGGGAAAGGAAGGTGCTGGTAAAGAGAGCTAAGCTGCTTGGGGAGCTGTGTTGCCAAGCTTGGTGTCTGCCCATCTCAATTAAAGACAGGCTGAGGAATTGAGTCCTCCTGATGGTAGGAAAAGGGGGGAAGCCCTTTAGCAAAGCATTAACTGCTGCTTGAAAACCCAGGGGCAGCTCTGCTGTTCCGTGGTTACCAGCTGTGCTTGGGACCGGTGCTCTTCAACATCCTTCTCAGGGGTATCGATGGTAGAATCGAGTGCACCCTCAGCAATCTGCTGACAACACCCAGCTGAGCGGTGTGGTCAACACGGTGGAAGGAAGGGATGCCATCAGAGGGACCTCGAGAGGCTGGAAAGGTGGGCCTGGGTGAACCTGATGAGGTT